AAAAAAAACATTGCGTATTTCGGTCATTACTCCTGGCCGACAAAGGTCATTGCATTCCCCCGTGCTTCCCTTGAATTCGAGCTATCGTTCTTGTACTCGCACCTATATAAGCCAATGTCTGTAAATAAACAAGCTTGCCTTACTGTGAGAGAATCCTTCTGCTTCGTCTGCAATTTTGTTTTACAATGCAAGTTGACACTGTACAAGTGCTACCGGGAAGGACATCGAATTCTTGCATTCTTCATGTTGGCGATGGATTTTATTATCACGTTAAAGAAGTACGCCCTCGGAGGATTCGACTGAAGTGCCGGCTTGCTAATGGTCGTGGGTGCAGAGCGACTGCTAGCCTGGTTCTTGGAGACAACAATCGCCTCGAAATTCGCCAACTTCAGCCCCATCAGTGTCAACGGGACCAACGATTGCCAGAGGATATTGAGACACGGGCAGCACTTGTTGACATGGCTAGGACGACTGTGACTGGAGCAAGTGTACGCAAGCTCCTGCGTGATTTCAGGCTACGGTACGAAAACTGCTTTGTTGTTGGTAGTCTCAGTGCATTTGAGCTAGGCCATTTGGCATGACTTTCATTTTTCCCTTGTTGCAGGCTCCATCCTGACCTTGCCCGAAGATTTACTGTTGCAAGGATGCATTCTGCCCTTTATAATGCTCGCTGTGCCAACTACCCGAAAATTCCAACATCTCTTCAACACCTAGGTATCCTCTTAGGATTGCCCAATTTGAGGCCAATTTGCAAGACAGCCCACTGTGATGACTTCATTTTTCGGGGCGTGATTGGCACAGTCGTGTCGAAAACTGTCTGTGTTGTGTTCATCTCAGGAAGAATGCTCCAGTTTCTACAAACTTGTACCAATCTCCACATGGATGGCACATTTAAGAAGCGCCCCAGAAAACCTAAATGCAGACAAATATTTAACATTGTCACCAATTATGGGAGATCTGTAAGTAAATCATTAATTGTTTAGTTGAAAGTTCTCCGTCTTCCTGTCTGATTACCTATTTTTATTTTTATTTGCCTGCCCCTCAGATTGTGGCCTTGGTACGCGTACTCATGATGAGCCGCTGTGAGGCAGCTTATGTAACATTGTTCTCGTACCTCAAACAACTAGCTCCAGGATTGCAGCCTCACAGAATTCACTGTGATTTCGAGAGGGCCACCATCAATGCCCTTCGTATTACATTTCCTCTCAGTGACATTGTGGGATGCTTGTGGCATTTTGGTGTGGTAAGTGTCATATCAGTTTTGTGGGGATGGCTTCGGGCACAAGGAGGAAATAACTTCTGTATTCAGTGTTCAAACTTGGTGAATTGTTTTGAAATTTGGTTGAATTATTTCTGAATTGGTTTGAATTAGGTTGAATTGGGCGATAGGTAGGGTTGTTCACTTAGGCATGGGCAGTTATTTACTCTTTTGCTTTGTTATTATCCATATGCAACATTTTTTTCTCTTTTGGCTTCAGTGTATTGGCAGACAAGCTGTCAAAAAGGGGCTGGCACCTTTGGCAGCAAAAAATGACTTGGTTCATTCCTTCATAAGGTGTTTATGTGGTACACCTCTTTTACCTGCTGCTCTGATTTCAACTGGTGCTGAAGAAGTGTGGGCGCAGGTTGAGGCAGCAGGCTGGTCAGAAGAGTTCCAACCACTCTTTCAGTATTTCAGAAGAGAATGGATACCAAGGATCAGTGAGCTATCAGTCTTTGATCAAGAAGAAAGGACGAACAACTGTTCAGAATCGGACAACAGGTCTCTAGCAACAGCAATTCCCATGAACCACCCAAACATTTTCACTCTCATTGGTAAGTTAATCATTTTTAAGCAATGCTAGTTTAGAACTACTTAACAAAGCTTCATTACTCAATCAATAATGAGTAAATCAGCACCTATATTCTAAGCGGTTTTTGGTTTTCGCAGGTGGATTTGTTGAGCTGGAACATCTGGCATGGTGCGACAAGTTGGCAGGAGCAGGGGGAAATGCTGTCAATGGTGCACCACGCTGGAAGACCCTGGCAAATGATAAACGCGTCAAAAGACTGTCTGGTCTCTTGGTCAGGGACCAAATAAGTCCAGGAGACTTCCTAGAGGCTGTTTCTTGGGTGAATCAGGGGGCCTTAAACCATGGGATGAAAATTGATTGTGACAGTGATAGTGATAGTG